AATTTTACGGAACGGAACGTAGAAATGACTCACCAGTTTCATAAAAATTGTTGAACGTTCAAGAATTTTTTATTTTTGAGGCATAATAAGTCGGGAAGTTTCTGTAAGATTTTACTTCTTCGGGAAAAATTACGTGACAATTTCGTACTATGTTTGATGAGCCTGAAAGTTCACTGAACGTTTCAGATTTCTTCTCTTCCATTCCTACAAAAATTGCCGAAAAACGATTTCCCATTGCGGATTACGTGAATTATTCTGTAATTTTGACTGAATATTTCTCTCCGTGAAAACAATTACTTTGCAATTACATACAGCGTTCTATTTGAATACACCTTTTTTTCCAAATTTTTCTATCTATTGTAACATGCATGTGTAGCTGGCCTCCAAGAGCTTATGAAATTCATATTATTATCATTATTATTATTATTATTATTATTATTATTATTATTATTCATTAATTTATTTATTTTTTTACTCGTAAATGAGATCGCTGAACGATCCTCGAGGATTCCGACTTCACCTCGAAGACCGCCCAGCAAGCTAAGCGATGCAAACACTTCCTTATCGCTCTGCAATAGTGTTCCCTCTAACCAGAGGGTGAGCTCTATTGCAATCCAGAATCATGCTGCCTAAGTAGACGAAGGAACCCGAGGATGACTGCCTTCTGCATCTGGCCAGCCAAATTGAAGGCTTGACGCCTACAGGCCGGGATGGTTTTGAGCGCAGATATGAATGACTCCTTCATTCCCCCAAGAGAGCCAATGATAAGGACAACCAACTTCACTTTAAATCCTCTGTTTATTTGACGTAGCTCAAACAGAAGTGATTGGTATTTCAGCCGTTTCTCCGCTTTTTTAACTGTGATGTTGCTCTCAGCCAGAGCTAAGAACTCAATGACATAGATGATTTTGTCATCGAAATCGAAGAGGACGATGTCAGGTTTCGTCGCAACGATTGGCCTGACAGTCGCGAACGAGAAGTTCCAGTAAATCTTACACCTCTCGTTCACGACAACGGACTCAATATCTCCTGGAGCATACGGCAGCAGTGGTGTTCTGTCTATCTTATAAGCGTGCCGCAGATGGAAATACAGCACTCTCAAAGCCGCATTATGTCGATGGATATAACTCGTGATGGCATATGTCGGGCAAGCCGATAAAAGATGCATCAGAGT